CTGTCTCCTTCGGCTTTGCCTCTTACTATCTATGTCTCTTGTTTTCTGTGTTAACTCTGTCAGCTGACACCTTCCAACATGTTGCGGGGGGCCTCGGGGACACACTTCTAACTCCCCTATTCTCATCTCAGCGCCCGAGACCCCAAAATGGCTGAGGGGTCCTTCTCACCTCCCGCATGCCACGTCTGTTTGCTCTGCAACAGCCTGTCCTATGCAGCTCGAAAAGCCAGGGAGTGATTTGTTCTTTATGGCAAAGGTGTGCTCGGAAGCACAGAATTGTCCTGCGAGTGGTTACTGAGCGAGCCTCGCTAGCGTGGGGAAACGGCAGTGCTCACTGGCACCTGTGTGCTTACCTGCAACACGATATGCTCAGAGAGGAGAGGGAGCTGAACCACAAAGAGTGGCAGCCCTCGCAACCCAGACTGCTAACAATTGAATAAGCCAGGGGTCCCCAACCTTTCTTAGCCTGTGGGCACCTGTGAATATCTTGTTGGGGGCATCCACAAAATGGCTGCCATGGGAGGCAAAGCCAGCCACAAAATGGCTGCCACAGCTTACCTTCACTCACATAGTAAAGATCCTTGTGCTGTCCTGGCAGCTGCTGTGAAAGCAACATCTCTAAAAATCTGCACCGCCAATAGAATCTCCAAGGGCCAATCAGAAGCCTGGCTGGGCAGAACGTGTCACTAGGACTCGTGGGCACCAGGTTAGGGACCCCTGGAATAAGGCGTTTGCCAAGGGCTAGAATATGTTTAGTTATCTTTGTAGACTGCCGTTGTCAGAGAACTTACGGAGGGTCATATAGATTCCCAGGGGATGTTCCATCCTGGCCTTGCCTGGAGACTGCAGCAGAGTTGCTGAGCCATGCTTGCTTGGACCATGCGGCAAAAAAACCGAGGGCCCCACCAAGCGTGGAGGAAAAACCAGGAGATAATTGGGACGGTGGGAGAATTAATTTTAATTCCCCTACGCATTTTGCATACGCCATCAGGGGGATCTGTAAAATATCAGAGTCTGATGCATCAGAAGTGTCTGATGCAGTATACGTGGAACACCCCGGGGGTCTCAGTGAATTAAAATTAATTCTCCCGCTGTGCCGTTTGTCCCCTGGTTTTTGCTCCATTTCGGCCATGCCTTGAGACCACCAACTTCTGAGGGACAGAACATTTAGGGGTTGCCCCTAGAAAATGAGGGGCGTACCCCAGCCTTGAGGCATAAATGTAGGACACGTCCTGCCCACAGGTGGTTTGTTGTATTTCTTTATTTAAAATATTTCTATCCTACCTTGTTTCTTTACTGCCCCCCTCAGCATGAAATATCCCTCATTGTTTAAGAGACAAAGCAGAGCTGATCTGCGAAAGGCAAAGGCTGCAGCCATGAGTTTAGGCCTTAGCTGAATGGGGTTGCCTGAATGGTGTTGGCTAGAGACCTCTCGCTATTACCACTGTCCTCCAGCGACAGAGATCAGTCCCCCCTGGAGAAAATGGCCACTTTGGAGGGTAGAGTCTAGGCTTTATAATCTGTTGGTCCCTCCCCTCCTCAAACCCCGCCCTCCCTAGGCTCCACCCCCCAAATCTCCAGTTATTTCCCAACTCGGAGCTGGAAACCCAACGGCTGAACGAGATACACAACCATGCCAAGTGTGTGCCAAATAATGTCAACAAGGCAACCTGTTTGTGTGAGCAAGCGGCTTCTAAGAGACCAAACACAAGGGGGCACACCAACGTGCTGTGTGTGTTCTACAAGTAGGGTGGCCAATTTCCAGGTGGTGGCTGGCATTCTTGGATTACAACTGACCTCCGGTCGACAGAGATCAGTTCCCCTGAAGAAAATGACTCTTTTGGAGGACAGTCTGTATGGCATTATACCCCATTGAAGCCCCCCCCCTGACCCCACCTTCCTCAGTCTCTACCTCAAAAATCTCCAGGTATTTCCTAACCCAGAGCTGGCAACCCTATTACAAAAGGAAAAAATTCATGGAGATTCTTCACCAAAATAGCCTGATTTCTGCACTAACAAAAGCTCAGCTCTGTGATCAGCATGAAACATATACATGGTTGCAAGGTAGTAGCCCTAACCCCTCTGACTGCTGGAAATCCTCTCCCCCCCCCCCCCCGGGGGTCAGGGGGGGGGGGGAATTTCAGGCTGGGGGTGTGCATTTGGTTTTCCTGAACCGAAAAAAATACCTTATTGGTATTTATCAGTATTTTTAAAGCCGAATGCAAATTCAAGAAATTTTTCGGGTTCTGAATACAGTTTCCCGAATGTATTCGGCTTCTTCGGTTTCCAAGTAGCCAAATACCAACTTCCCTCCCCGGTGGCTTCTCTAATCATTTTCACTCCCTACCAGTCAGCCAGGGAAAGCCTCCTCTCTGCCTTCGCTTCTCCAGCTGTCACAGAGCTGCTGGAGAAGCACAGGCAGAGAGCCCAGCCATGTTTAAATGCCTTTCTTTCCCTCTCCCAGTTCGGGGAGGGAAAGGAAGAAGAAGAAGAGATTGGATTTATACCCCACCCTTCACTCGGAGTCTCAGAGTGTCTTATAAACTCCTTTCCCTTCCTCTCCCCACAACAGACACCCTGTGAGGTAGGGGAGGCTGAGAGAGCTCTGACAGAAACTGCTCTTTTTCAAGAACAGCTCTTATCAGAACTATGGCTTGCCCAAGGTCATCCAGCCAGGTGCAAGTGGGGGAGTGGGGAATCAAACCCAGTTCTCCCAGATTAGAGTCCGTGCACTTAACCACTACACCAAACTGGCTTAAACCTGACAGTTGACTGGCGGGGAGGGAAATTGCCACGGAAAGCTGCAGGGGCTTCCAGCGGGAAAGAAGGCATTTGTACATGCTTCCCTTCCCTCCTATCTGGTATATATATTCAGGAACACCGAATTTCCCCCCAGTCCTGATACTTTACCAGTATTGGGCTGGGGATATTCAGCATTTACCAATATTTTTCGGGTCTGATATACCCAAAGCCGAAAATTGCACTGCCCCAGTTCAGACTGAGAAGTTATCCCTACACCTTAAAGTTTAGCTGTACCCAATAAGGATCAGACAGATGCATTTTAAAAATCAAGATAAGACCAGACTATCAATCTTGCATTTGTGCTGAATCCCAAAACACAGCGCTGACTGAAGTATGGTTGCACTTGTTAACAAGATGTGGAATAAGAACAACATATGCCGCTTGGATTTATACTTCCTCTGAAGATGAAGGTTTTATTTAGCGATCAAGATTAACAGCCACAAGTAGACCACTGTGAATTTCTCTAGTCTTGAAAGCTGTCGGAACTAAGCAAGCATCAACACGCCCTGTGGCAGTCAATTTCATCAGTATGCATGGCGTGAAGAAGTTACTTCCAAATGCCATGAGACATATTTTTATTTTATGGGAGTTTCTGAATGCCCTAGGTTCAATTGGAGCACTTTTATTGTGCTGGTTTTGCATACGAAAGCCAGCATGGTGTAGTGGTTAAGGGCAGCAGAACTCTAATCTGGAGAACCGAGTTCAATTCCTGACTCCTCCACAGGAAGCCTGCTCAGTGACCTTGGGCCAGTCACAGTTGTGAGCACTGCCACAAAATGGCTGCTGCATGTGGCACAGCCAGCCACAGAATGGCTGCCACAGCTTTCCTTCAATCACACAGTGAAGACCCTTGTGCTGTGGTGGCAGCGGCTGCCAAAGCAACGCTTTTAAAAATCTGCAGACTTAATCGAATCTCCAAAGGCCAGTCAAAAGCCTTGCTGTGCAGAAGCCCTGCTCACTTTTTTAAAACACTTGGCGGGCTCCAGTGGGTACCCACAGATACCAGATCAGGGATCTCTGTTCTAATCCTTTTGGCCACACATCTCAGCTTGTTACTGAATCTGAGCAAGTGTAAGATTTCTTCTCAGGTGAAAGATCTCTGGAATTTTGAGAGCACTTATAAAAACTGAGGTTTTAAATATCTCGGTATAGAAGAGACAGAAAACACACTACGCATGCTCAGAGTTACACAGTACAGGGGAGGGCAGGATAGAAATCCAATCGGGGGGGTAGGTAGGTAGATAGACAGACAGACACAGACAGACAGATAGATAGATGATGGGTGGATGAAAAGATAGGTGGATAGATCAATGATGGATGGATGGATAGATGGATGGATATATGGATGGATGGATAGATAATAGATGGATGGAGAGAGAGAGAAACTGGGCTGAAGGCTTAGGGCTTAGATTAATGGATCAAATTGATCAGTAGCTTCAATCTCATAGAATCAATTAATAACTTTCTGATTGAAAAGATACTGTGATTAATTCTTTCAAAGTTAATTTCGTTAATATAAGAAGTTATAAAAATGGGTGCCCTCAGAGGCATTCTACCTTCTCTCACACATAAGAGAAGATCGTAGAAGATGTATTCCTCCATCTTAGAAAAGGTAATTTCCTTATTCTCTCTCACACGGGAAGGACTCTTAGGAGACATCCCTTCATTGTTGAAAATGGGGTTCCCATCCTCCGGATGGGACCTGGAGATCCCCTGGAATTACAGCTCGTCTCCAGGCTATGGAGATCGGTTCCCCTGGAGAGAATGGCTATCTTGGAGGGTGGACTCTGTGGCCTTGTGCCCCACTGAGGTCCCTGTCCACCCCCAGACTCCATCCCCAAATCCCCCGGAGTCCCCCAGCCTGGATCTGACAAGCCTACCTCTGCATCCCTCACCAGTGGACTAGGAGGACCTGACATTCCCTCTCGCACAAAGTAAGGAGTTTCAGAGGATAGCCATGCCAGCCTTCAGTGGAACAGCTAGACTTGAGTCCACTAGCAACTGAAGAGGCCAAAAAGATTTCGAGGGTATGAACTTTCAAGAGTCAAATCTCCCTTCACCAGATCCTGGAAGAGGCACTCCTTCATCTTAGAAGAGGCATCCCCCTTCTGTTCCATTCAGGAGGGAAGGCCTCTTCTTAGCTAGATCTTGCCGTGACACAGTCCGCTCGGCAATCACCTCTCGTCTTTCTTCCGCAGGAGATGCCACCTATCTCGACATCTTCCGGGAGTTTTCTCACATGGCGTCAAACAACCCGGAAAAACTCAATCGCCGTAGCCTCCACTTCAGCCACTCCTACCGATAGCCACAGCCGCCGGCACTGTCCCTTTGTCTCCTGACGGCAGAGGCTTTGAACTCTGGGGGAAGAGTCAAGACCGCGTGCCACACAGGAAGGCGAAGGGACAGACCTGACTGAACGTCTTAGAACCGGTCCAGCCGAGATGGGGGCGACTCTACACGGCTCGTAGCTGCTCTGCCGAGATTCGCTGCAATTTCGACACCGTTCCTCACTGAGACGAAATGGCCCTTTCCCTGCTCCCGCAAAAAGTGTGTGAATAGGCTAGCACAATCTTGTGAATAAGCCCTCCAAAGCGCGCAGTTGTTTTTTGCAAGTCGCTTGTAACCAGTTGTGACCTGAACAAAACACATACCCCATTTGGTTAAGTGTGCGGACTCTAATCTGGGAGAACCGGGTTTGATTCCCCACTCCTCCACTTGCACCTGCTGATATGACCTTGAGTCAGTCACAAGCTCTGGCACAGCTGTCCTTGAAAAAGAGCAGTTTGTGTCAGAGTTCTCTCAGCCCCACCTACCTCACAGGGTGTCTGTTGTGGGGAGGGGAAGGGAAAGGAGTTTGTAAGCCGCTCTGAGACTCCAAGTGAAGGGCGGGGTATAAATCCAATCTCTTCTCTTCTTCTTCAAAGCTTTCTTATCTGTATCCCCTCCAAGGAGCTCAGTTTCTCCTCTTTCAGTTTATCCTCACGATAACACCACGAGGTAGATTAGGTCCTCTGAGCTCTGAGTGGGGATTTGAGCTAGGGTTGCCATAGCAGGAGGCTTTGCGGGTCAGGGAGTGACCTGGAAGTGACATCAGGACACTCTAGAAATTTGCTCTTCTCTATGTTTTTACCCTGCCCTAGACAGCCGAGGCGAGTCAGATCTCAGAAGCTAAGCAGGGTCGGCCCTGCTTATTATTTGGCTGGGAGACCGCCAGGGTCGTGTTGCTGAGGCAGGCAATGGCAAACCGCCTCTGAACATCTATTGTCTTGAAAACCCCATGAGGTCACCATAAGTCAGCTGTAAATT